ACACTGCATCTCCTTTGCGCGCCTTCGAGAACGAGCTTGGTGTGCAGCCACCTTTCGGCTTTTGGGATCCCGTTGGATTCACAGCTGATGGTGACACTGAGGCATATGCCCGCCGTCGTCAGACCGAGATCAAGCACGGCCGAATTGCGATGCTTGCTACCATGGGCTACATGACTCCGGAGATCACTGGAAAATTCCCTGGTTACCTTTCTCCTTCATTGGGCTTGAAGTTTGCGGATGTCCCCAATGGCTTGGCCGCTATCTCTAAAGTGCCAGCAGCTGGGTGGGGTCAGATTTTGGCTTACATGGCCTTCTGCGAGGTTTCCAAGGACCAGAAACCTGGAAGCCCAGGTGCTGCAGGTGACTTTGGATGGAAGGTGCTCACTTCCTCAGACCCCACGATCAAGCAGAACAAGCTTGCCTCCGAGCTTGCCAACGGCCGGTTGGCCATGGTGGCCATCATGGGCATGCTCTTCCAGGACTGGGGGAAGAATCAGCTGATGCTATCCAAATGCGTGACATGAGTTATTATGTAGGACAGGGTTGGATGACGTGAACAGGAACAGGTATCCTTGGGGACAGGGTTGGTAGCTATGGCTTTCAGATTACCCCTTGCAGGATGGTGTGACCGGCAGCCCTTGGGGAGACTTTGCCATCAAGCAGGGATCTGCTTGGCTTGCCTTTGAGAGTGAGCTTGGTGTGCAAGCACCAGTCGGTTTCTGGGACCCTGTTGGGTTCACTGCTGATGGCGACGTTGCAGCCTTCAAGCGCCGACGATCTGTGGAGCTTAAGCACGGCCGAATCTGCATGATGGCAACCATGGGTGTTTCGACAGCATGGCCCGTGTTCTAAGAGTCTAATGGAGTCTAGAACCTGTGATTTAATCATTTTAATCCACTTTCATTTAAAAAAACATGTCATTTATATTGCATTCTATTGTCAATTCAATAGATATTTTTTGCGTGTAGGCCCCACAACACTGAAGCATCTCGAAAACAGAAAACATAACTTAAGTATGATTGGCGCAGTCGCTTCGAGTGACACTCGTGCTTGACTAAGGTTACATCACCCCTGAGGTCACCGGCAAGCTGTCTTTGCCTGAGTGCATGTACAATGTACAGACAAACCATAAGAGAGTGGGCCAATTTGCAGTATGTTGCCAATGAACACCTTTTTTTTGACCCAGACCAACCTCTAGAGCCTCATGCGCGAGTGTGAAACACATCGTGAAAAGATGCTGCAAGTGAAAAACAGCTCTGCTACCTGAGGCCGGGCTACCTGTCCCAATCTGCCGGTTTGAAGTTTGCTGACGTCCCCAACGGCTTGGCCGCGGTGGCCAAGGTTCCCGTGGCGGGCTGGGCGCAGATCGCGGCCTACTTCGGCTTCGTGGAGTTCAGCGGCGGCTTCGAGGACTACAAGACCGGCACACCGGGGGACTATGGCTTCAAGGTGCTGACGTCCTCTGTGGCGGAGGAGAAGACGGGGTGACAACGGGGTGACAAGACATGTGACGATCCATTGTGGCCCTCAAAGAAATGTCTCGGTGTTTTTTGGAGGGGGGGATGCCGGGATGGGGGAGACATGGTGTCGCAAGTCAGGGAGGCAGTTTTGAGCCTTTGGATGGGCTGATCCATCTGATTCAGACGAGGAAGGCCGAAAAAGCGAAGGCGATCGGCCCTTCAGTGTCACCCGCATGAGGAGAAGACCCAGAAACTCTCGGCCGAGCTGGCCAATGGCCGCCTGGCCATGATGGCCATCATCGGCATGTTCTTCCAGGAGCCGAGTGTGGATTGGTGATCGGTGTGCGGGGTGATCGGTGTGCGGGGTGATCGGTGTGTGTTTTCTTGTTTGGGATTGCCGGTCTCAAAACCTGATGTGATGTAGTTTAAATGCTTGTTGATATTGGACGCATCTCTCATAATGTCCGTGGAAACCGCACACGGATCTTCAAAGTCAACACCGGATCAGAGCTCGATTCGAATGAAGAAACGATTCGAACGATCAATCAAAAACACAAGAGCTCGACTCCATCAGCACATTGCATGCGACCCCACAACACTTCTCACTAACACAGTGTCAACGTGTACACACGCGTACTACGGTCTACGGTAGTAACACTGAAACACGATCAGATCAAACTTCAAGACTGCCACGTAAGCCACGCTCCAAACGGCACAAGAGGTGTATTACAGGGGTGTTTGCCAGGGTAACCTGGAAGGGTTGGAGTTGAGACACCCAAGGCAGATGTGTTTTCTATTTTTTTTTAAAGCAAGGTTTAGACTTCAGCTACCTCTAAGACTAGTGACTAGTCAGACTCACCTCTACAGTCTACAGTGTTGATGTGTCTTCGGTGCGCGCCTCTTTTGCTCAGCGCCTAAGAAGAACACACCGGGGTCGCAGAAGAACTGCGGAAGGTGATCACCCGGGTCATTTGCCTAAGGAACGGAGCAAAGTTCAAAGATGTTCAAAGAGTTCTGGTTTTCTGCTCAAATGGGATCAAGTCGGTTTGTATGTGTCAAAGCAGGGACCCGAACCAGCTAGCTAGGACTGGGCATCGACTTGGGCTTACCAAAAAGGATTAACAATTGTATCTGTAGAAGACTAGGGACGGTCAAATTGTGAGGCCACATGTAAAACGATGTAAAACCTCTCTTAAAGCTCCCAACAAGATTCTCTTCATATTCCATTCTTTTTGCTGAGTTGAGGGCCAAAGTGTAGGAATTTGATCATTCAATCATGTCGTTCACCTGGCGAAGCCATGGAAAGTCCTCACAGTGTCGTGTTTCATGGTTACCTGTGGTAAACTCATGGCGAGTTCGTCTTCAAACATCCGCGCTCCGTGAACGGAGCGGTTTTCACCGGCAGGATGGCCTCACCGGCTCTGCCTGGGGAGACTGGGCCAACTACACGGCTTCTCCATTGCGCTGAGGCCGCCGGCCAGATGGACCGCTGGACGTCGTATGTCAAAACACCTGGGATTAATTAGTTGAAGTGAACACGTGCACAATTGAGTTTTAGGTGTGCTTATTTGTGTGCAAATATGAGGAACATGTCAGTGTTTCGTTCGCGCGATTTGCTTGGCTAATTCTCCCAACGAGGAGCTGCTCGAAGTAAAACAGCGGCCTTTGACTCTTTGGGTTCGGACCCTACCGCAGTCTATCAGGATCCTCCACTCAATCCCCACAGCGCATTTGGTGCACCCAATCATGATGTGAATCGTTGGTCTATTCATTCCAGATATGCATGAAAATAAGGTAACATAAGCAACATACGTCAACATACTAGTGTCATTTCGATTCATTTTGATCGAGAGCCAACAATTCATTTTAACTACTCTCGGGTGTACGATAACATTTTGTCGGTTGCAAAACGCAGGGCAGAACTTTGTGCGGCCTTTATCTACACATTTTGCCCGATTCACAAATGATTCATTGCCTCCAACAGGTGCGCATGACGACAGAAGAGGACAGAAAAAACATGGGATAAATGGACATCAAAATATCGATAATTACAATTATAATGCAACGCACATATACTATATTACGTTTGGGTTTTAATATTTCATTTATGAATGAATCCATATCCATTTTATATAATTTTTAAATTGGATGTATTAGATTTCTGAAACATTTTAATAATATATATTGAATAGAATACATTAATATATACGATAATTTTTAAAAATATAATACATAATTTTTGATTGTTATTGTATTTGAAGACAATTATATTGGAAATGATATGATAATTAGCAAATTATGTATATTTTGTAGATTTGGGATATATATATATAATGCTAAATTTGGTAGGAAGCTAGGTGGATTAAGGATTAATATCTCGATTTTTAAATGGGATTCTTGTTAGAAATGGAATAAATGAATGGAGAAAAATATAGGGATGCATTATTTTTGGAATGTAATATATAAAAAAATATATATAGGGGATATATATTAATGAAATGACGAGGATATGTTGTTTATATTTTTACGTGAAGGTTGGACATTGTATAAGGGAATGATATATATAAATAAAATGACGAGGAATATGAATGCTAAAACATTTAAAAATAATGTATTTGTATTGCTTACTAAATGCCCTTAGGGAAAATTTTGAGGAACGATGGCAGTAATTGAGGTGGTATTAAATTTATCGCACGCCGTCAAATCCGCCGACCCGATTCGTGGGGTGAGACGTTATTATTGATTGATAGCCTTAGCCTTAGTCCTTAGTCTTATATTCCATTATTATACTTATGCCTTTTATGCGCTTTGCAAAGGTTTTGACAGGATGCTTGGTTTCTCTAGGTCTTTATAAAGAAAGGTTCCGTGCTGCCTTTTGGATTCCTAGATTTGCAAAGAAAATTACTAACCCATTTTCTTCCGTTGTTGTCCTTATGCCTTTCATGCGCTTTGCAAAGGTTTTGACAGGATGCCTGCCTGGTAAATAAGCATGGTCCCGGCCTCGAGTCCCAAGCTGGTCGCGGCCTGGTCCCTGCCAGTGCCCTTGGTTTTTCCTAGCTTTTGTAACGTTTTCCACTAGATTTCTAGGATTTTCAAAGGTTTTTGTAAGATTTACTAATGCCTTTCAGGTCTTTTGCGAGGATTTTATTCCAGCATTTTCTGTGGTTCTTCTAGTTAGTTCTGTGGTTGTCTAAAGTCTCCATGTTATTCTTGGGTTCCCAGATTTTCAACAAAAAATGCTAACCCATTTTCCTCGA